GGAAATTAAGATCTTCCTACCCTCACATTCCAGGTCGTTTGTTTTTTGTTTCAGCCTTCTACATTTTTCTTTTCATGTCTCACAGCAGATAAAGTTACAATAACCGCCCCACTGAGGTCACTGCTTCTCACTTCCTTGTTGCTTTGCAAACCAGTATTATTATCTGATGATGGTGCCTGTAATGATCATAATTTTTAATCTAATAACTTTTAGTGTCCAGATGTAACAAAATAAACTAAGTGATTTTAAAAACAATCCAAGTTTAGAGCTCCCTAACATGTATGTCCAGAGTCCTGCATTATTTTTTTCAAAAGGATTTTTTTTGGTATGGTTTCTTCCTTTTAGAAATTTGTTTGATTATGTTAATTATTTTTGTTCTTGTAAGAATGCATTTATATTTGCTTTGCTGAATACTGCTAAATTTTATTATTCCATTAAAACACAAACTGTACCAAAAATAGAGAATGGATAATCTCTGTTCATTTTCTAAAACATATTGAAGCTTGTACTTTGCCTGCATTATTTTGTCACTATTGTTTCAAGGAAATCTGTGTTTTTACTGAAGTTCACATATGAATTAACACTTCACAAACATGTTTCATCACTGACAATTTCAATTCCAAGAACTGATATTGGAAAAAATGATATAAAGAAGTCAGTTTTCAAATGATCATGTTGTTCCCTTCTAATCCCATATTTAAAGTTTTCAGACAGACAAAGTGATTTTTTTTTTTTATTCATTGAGAAAAAGAAAAAAGTTCATGAATCTTAAACTTCATTGTTTTCTCCCTTGTAATAAATGGTATGAGTAGCAGCGTTTCCTACAAGTAAGAGGCAAAGGCACCTGCAGCTGCTGAAAATTCCTCTGTGTAAGATATAACATAAGATGTCAGGCAGATTTTAGTGAAGCCTATAGAAGAGCAGAAGAGGTTTTGAAGACATCAGTCTTGGAGATATTTTTGGAATGAAGTGTTCCAAAGCACATGTAATTAATATTTATTTGATAATTATTAACTTGCAGCTTCATTCTTGTGTTAAAAAAAAATAAAAAATCCAGGACTGTAGTATTAAACTTCCTTTCCATTTCTTTTCTCCCTGCAGGCTCTCTTCAGAGTTTCGATGTTTGTCGTTAAGTAGCTAGACATTGTTTCCCTTACCCAATTGCTTAAATATTAAGAAAAAGCATCAAGATTTAAATTTTCTTTATGCTGATGTGAAAGATCAGATTAAATAGAAATATGGATTTGTTGTAGGTATGTAGATGAAGCCTTTGGTCATGTCAAATATAAAACCAGCATATATTTTTGTTTGCCTAAGAGGCAGGGTGTGCAAATGCTGACTGAAGTTATTTAGGCATTTAAATTACATTCAGGTTCTTCTGAGGCACAGTTGCTGGGTTCTAGTAGCAGGTTACTGGTTTTGTTATTTTGGAAAAAATGAACTAATCGTATTTTACTGTACAGGATATGAGTAATAACAAAAATTAAATTTTTGGAAACATTTTGCAGGTTCCAGCTTTGCAGTTGGGGACTCTATATAAACCTCTGGACCCAGCTGTTCACCACTATATTCTTTCAGTCACTCTGAGGTGTTGATTTTAAAAGAACGAGTTGCTGTTCCTGAAGTCTACAAACTGAAAATATTTCATAGCAGGCATATGAACATACATGGATTGGTTATATTGGTGCCTATGCAGGGGTATAATAAGGACCAATTCATGTTTTCATTCAGAAACAGTGAAGAAAACTATTTTCTTTAATGGTATACCAGATTTATCCAAATATTTCAGCAAGTCTGTATTACAGTTTGTCAGCAAACTGGGGTACAACCAAAGTGTATTTAAAAATCATTTAATTAGGACAGATTCATTTTCGCTCCATGCCACTACACAGCAAGACTTGCTTGTTCATATTTCCTTAAATTTATTCTGGAACTTGTCCAAGTTCAGCTTTAATGAGTAGCCTATCCTGCTAGTTACATTAGGATTTATTTTCCCCTAGAGAAGAGTGTTTGAATTGGTAGTTTTTTAACCTGTTCAGTTAAATGAACATATGTTCAGAGCTGCATCTTAACTCTTAAGCGTAAAGATTTGAGAAATAATTATTTCTATTGTTGTTACACTTTTAAAGTGCAGTTTAAATAGTGGTTTTAGACTCCAGCTATGTGCCATAACTGTTTTAAAATGGTGATGACTTTTGATCTGAAGTCATATTCAGATGCTTAATACAAATTTAATGATACAATGTAGAAACACAGATCTGACATGGTTTACTGAAAAAAAATTATTTGTATTTTTATTTTCACTTATTGCTTAAATATATCTCTTGGGTCATAAAACTTGGTTAAATATAGCTCAGTACCTTATTAATGATGGATTTTCTGTATTAACAGGTGCAGTTTGGTAGCAAACTTGTATTTTAAGTTCTTTTAAATGCATTATTTGTGTTTCAAAACTATTATAATAAATCCTGAATTATAAATGTACTTTCATCACTAGCCAGGTCTAGTTAAAATTTCCTTTAAGCAACATTTGCTGCACACATGGTACAGTACTTCCCCCCGCCTTGCTTTCTTTTTTTCTATAAAAAAGGATTTATTTTCTTCAACTTCCCATTTCTCCAAAGTTGCCTGAAAAGGACCAGTAGACTTTACTCCTATGAGAATGTTAAAGTACAATAAGTGTAGAATTTGCATATTGTTAAAAAAAAGTCATACACTGTTACTACCCGTAAGGGACTATTTTATGTGAAACTTTTAAGTTTCAAATTTACCATAGTTCAGTACAGTAGCTGTAATATGTATTAAATGGGTAGTCAAACCTTTAAAGCAAAACCTTTTCCGCTGTCATATTGTCACAGCTTTTCACAGATGCCCCTCTCCTCCCCTTAAGTACTTGAATTTGTTAATGCAAATATGTTATTTTAGTTGGAATTATTGCAGAGTCATGTTCATCCTGAATTTTGCTGGAAAAAGTTTTCTACCTTCTTCCTTCCTTCCCCATCTTGCATCAGGGAACCTGTCTTTTGAAATACTCAGCAACTTTTTTTCCTGAAATATTTAGTTTTAATCCTGCAAAATTATATGCAGACATATGAGGGAAGAGTAGAAGATGAAAGTTATCTGAAAGGATAACAAATGGAAAAAGAACAGAAAGGAAAAATGTAAAGAGTGCATTTCTGTAATTAGATAATAAAAAATCACAATACATGGCTTGAAAAGAAGAAATACTGGAAAAAATTCTGATTGATATCATAGAATCATAGAATAGTTAGGGTTGGAAAGGACCTTAAGATCATCTAGTTCCAACCCCGCTGCCATGGGCAGGGATGCCTCAGACTAGACCGTGTTGCCCGTGGCTTACTTTAGGCTGTTACCAGCTGACTGATAGTTTTACTCAAACAGTAGGCTGCTCTTTCTATTTTTTTCCTTCCTTCTGAAGGTAATTGCTGGTACCAAACATAAGGCTGAATTCTCCCCTATGATCATGAAGTGGTTTTCCTTCATGTTTTTTCTGCAAATGGCATTGAAGGTGGCAGCACAGTTGTGTCATTAGCTTCAAGTGAGTTGCAACTCAGTCTTGTTGCTGGTTTTTTTCCCCCTCTTCTCGGTGTTTCTTCAGACAGGTAATCCTCATTCCAAGCTTTATGAGGTTGAAAAACCTTGGTCTAAAGAATACTGATTACTATTACAGAAGTCTACAACATCTGTTTTTGTTTGTTCTTTGGCCTTCATTTGTATTTACATCCATTTTCTGAGAAACTTTCATGAATATCTTCTTTCATAGGAATCAGTTTTTCTTTTATTCCCTGGTTTTTATTTTTGGTGAGGAGCAATGGAATTGGCTTTCGTAGATGGGTTTTATCTATGAAACTTTATTCTATGGAGTAGACACCCACAGTGGAGATAATTATTATAATCTCCCTTTGTGGGAAATATAGTGACCTACAGAAAGCAGTTAATTTAATCCTTAGATCTAGAACGAATGGATCTGTTACGTATATACATGCTGGTTTCCTTCCTTTTACCTTAAAAGGGTCTATACAGCCATCTTAGATATGGATGTTTGTTTATATTGTAGGTATCTAACATGTGACAACATTAATTCCTCTTGCTCCAGAGAAAATAGTTTTCAGTTAGCTGTACTGACAAGGAATTGAGGGACGAGATCTTTTGACAATATGACAATATTAAGGACCTTTACAGCTTTTGTTGGATGTTGTAAATCACCCTGTTGCTTATTTCCAGGTAATAGTGTAGAAATGAGGAAGAAAAGGGAACTTACTTGACTTCACTATAGTTGTGGTAGAGCCTTCTTGTTGATAGCTGACTGTATTTTCACGAAAGAGTTTATTTCCAAACAGAATGTCCTTTATGTTGTACTACCTTCCCAGTGGATGTTCCCACCTTTTCCTACTCCCCAGTTATATGGAAAAAGGCATTGGAGACTGTCAGAATCACTTAAAAAGCTCTACGTCAGTCAAATATGGAATATGAGGAGAAATGTGGAATGTGGGACTCTGTATTTTGTTGTATAGATGTTGTCTGTATGTGTTTTTCTTTGATAACTGGACGTACCTAATTTAGTGAATCATTGTAAGCTTGTAAATAAAAAAAATTCAGAAAATTCTATTTTTGAATAGACTTTTTCTCTGTTCTAATAACTGCACAATTTTATGAGTAGCTCTTATTTTTGTGTGAGCACTTGGAATTGATTTTATTAAATATTATAAACCCAGGAGATAATTAGATAAAAATATGTGATTTTTTTTCTCTCATGTTTTGGAGGGAGATGTAAAGTTAAATCATATAACAGAAGTCCTGTTTAGGGTGAATTTCAGTGTAAGTAGAATTAGCTTTTAGAAGAAATTTAACAGGGACACAGCACCAACCGTACAAACTAACAGCTTGTAGTCTGGTATTTTGTGACTAAGTTTTTAAATTGTTATTTTTATGCACCAAAGTAATGATTTTCCTTGTTTTTCTCTCAATATTTTAAACAGGACCAAGCGAGCTCATGTCCCACTAGCAGAATGCATATTTGAACTTCCTAATTTGACCGTTCAGGCAACAAGAGCTCAAACCCTTCTGCTTCAAACTATTTATCAGAGCTGGTGTCACCCTGTTGGAAATGTCAGTTCAGTGGTGGTAAATGAAGCTTTACTAAGTGAGGTTTTCCAAACTTCAGGTAAATATGCGATGCTTTTGGTTAAGTATTTATTACTGTACAGAGCACTGCTAGTGAATGTGCATATGACTATATCCTTTAAATCCACATTTTTACTTGCAGTAGTTAACAGACAAAATGTTTTTTGTATGTATATGGGTATTTACAGCTTATGCTTAAAATCCAGGATGTAAGCTAAGCCACCAAGCTTCACTCCTTGGCACCAATTGCTGGATGCATTTAATTTTCCCATATAGGATAATTTTTCCATGTTTCCCTCATCTGAAACATCCACCCTTGCTACCTTATATGGTGCAATGTTGTAACTTAAGATCATTCAGAGGTGAGGCTGGATTATTAAGGGCTTTATTAATCAGTGGCATACACTGAATTTTTTAAAGGGCTGCAGATGTTTCTCATCCAGTTTCATAAATAAATGTTACTGAACTGTTGTGAAAATGCTGAAGATATGGAAGTCTCAGTGATGATGATATAAATAATGAAATTGGTTACCATCATACTTTTGCAAAATACCCATGGATTTGTGGAGTAAATTAAGGATTTTGACCACTTTACCGTAGTCTTCAAGAGCATAAAAATCATCCAGAAGATAATACATTTTTTTCTTTATATTTCTACACAGGCTAGAATAATTTAAACCCACTATTGTTTAGACCCATTATTGTTTATCTGTTGTGAATAAACACTTAACAAGAATAATTGAGATCTTTTAGAATCCCCATCATTATCAGTCTTGGAGAATACGTTAGAAGAATGTCTCAGCTGTAGTAAGTCATGACTTGAAGCAGAATGATCGATTAGACTACTACTGGAACACTTTATCAGTCCTGTTTTTCTCAGTCCTATTTTCCTTTTTCAGTCCTCTTTTCAAGTTAAATCTGTGTTGATTTGATGGTGCAAAAGAACTATTATATTTCTAGGTGTGTAACCCTTGGAATAACTGTTTAAATGCTTAGTTTTTCCTTCTTTCCCAGAAGTCACTGATGCTTCTGAAGGTAGCAGGTTTACAATCCACACTTCAGAGAAGTGTGAAAATACGGTCATTTGATAATTTCAGATGGTCGTAGGGTTTGCACAGTTCCAAACTAACCCATTCCATCATTTAACATGTTTCAGTCCTTCAGTACAATGAACTGTGATACAACCATGCTAGCAGTGTATCAGCAGAATAGAAATCTGGAGCACATATTTTAGGAACTTAAAGTAAATGAAATGTATAATACACTTGTTTGGATCTTCTTTTGTTTGTGGCTTAATTCTTGACCTGGTAAATTTTATACTTCTGTACTTGTACTCCGCATTAACTAGTGAAAGTAGCTTTGAGTTCAAGGCTATGAAACAATTGCTGTTTACCCTTTAGTCCTAATCCTTAGCTTTGTTCATTTCGTAAATCTACCTTTGTGTAAAACTTAGTGTCATGCCTTGTTGAAAATCATCCTTGTACTTAGTATCACCTTAACAGTAACACATGTGTATAAGCTTCTAAAAAAACCTGACTGTAGTTACACAGAGAATTTGGAATTTCAGCTTCCTTTTTTATTCTTTTTTAGTGAAGTAACTATGAGGATAAAGTAGTCAACAAGGAACTTTTCAGTGAACAAGGCACATCTCTTAATCACTGATATTCTTTTACTAATATCCAGCTTAGTTTCTGCAACATAAATCAACAGCTGATGAATGTTCCTCAGGACTCCTTGATTTGGGTTCTCTCTTGCCATTGCATGTCCCTGTGCAGCCTTTGATGGGCTGAAGGCTCCTGTGGTGGGCATGGGAGTAGCCTATCAGAGTATTATTTGGGGTCCCCCTCCTGCCTTTGTCTCTCTGAGCATTTTTGCGGGTGTACAGATGAGCTTTTCTTGTATAACCTAATGTCTCACAGAAATAGAAATCTTTTCATCAATGGTGTTGTGGTTTCCATCTGATCACAGTTCATTTTTAGCTAGGCACAGAAGTAGTACAGAAGTACTTAAAATAGCTTTTCATCCTGTTGTGGATATTTCTTTGATCAATTTTGTACAAATAATCCAAGTATTAACATATTTGCTTTATTTTCTTTTATAGCTCTATCCCTTTGTTCCTTGGCTTTTTCTGATTTTTGTTTCTATGAAGCTGTAGTATTCTTGCAGGAAAAGTTAACAATATGATTAAAGATCTCCTTACCTTCACTTTATCCTGTTTCCCAGGGGATCTTTCTTGAAATTCATCGCTTTATTCTGCTGTTACAAATATCAGAAACTGTGGGTTTCAGGAGTGCTGGTGCCCAAATTATCTTCTATCTTTACATTTTCAAACTTCTAAAAGCCATCTTTCAAACTAATTAGAAATATAGCAGGACAAACAGCTATTTGTTTATCTAGATTATTATCTCTCTGTTAGAAATAAATTAAAAAACCCTGCCCAGAGATTTCCAGTAACTCTGCCTGCCTAAAGCCTGGACCACAGGACTTTATACATCCTTCATACAAAGTACACCACCATGCTTTTTTTGTCCTTTGTGAACAAATTGTGCCCTCCTATAGAAATGTTCTAGTTATGCATTACCATTCCAGATGCCAATTTTGAAAATATACTGACTTCAGATTTTTCTTCAATAGTTTACTCGTTGTATGTAGCTTGTCTCAGATCTGTTTGTTATTTGTTTACATAGGCTACATGTTTCTCAACTGCCTGTGTCTGTCTGTATTACCACTTTTTGTGTGGTGACTGTGGAGAGTTACTGGGCTGAAGCAGTTGTTGTTAAGCTTCTTATGACTTTATTGCTGCTTTGTGCCAGGTGCTTTTAGTGAGTGATGTGCCTTCATAGTATTAATTCTGTATTACTTGAACTCAGAAGTAATACCACAACCCTTTGCACCTTCTCAGCATAGATTTTAATTTGGGTTTTTTGGTGTTGTTTTTTTTTTTAATCAGGAATTATTTTCTTTAGTTTTATGCATTTTCCAACACAGCCATCTCCGGTTTTAAAACTGCATCACTAAAACTATGCTTACAATATGGGCTAAGACATGCTATAGACAAAGAACAGATGAATTAGGGGAAAAAAGGAAGGAAAAAAGGAGAAAGAGGATCAGCTTAAAAAAAAGGCAAAGAGATATGGAGGGGAAGACAACACAAGAGGAGAAACATTCAGAGAGCGTTAATGTAGAAAAGAAGTAAAAGTTAAGAAAGCCAAAATTTAATAGGGAAACAAATACATATACAAGAGTTGCAGGAAGAAGAGAAAACATCACAGAAGAACACATGACTATTGGCCCTTTGACAGGCTGTGAAGGGTCTCTCAAGGTATGAAGGCCTCTTTGGGAACCTGTCTGCTGGGTAGCTGCTGAAAGATGTTCTCTGGATGTAGTTTAGAAAGGGAGCTCTGCACTGTGTAGCTCCACAAACATAGGAACAGAATTTATAGCTAGTGTGTGGGGTTCTGTCCTACGGTTTTGTCTTTTGTCTGGAGCAGAAATGTTTTTCTGCTCCAGAACTTCACTGAGAACTGTTTTAGGCTGAAGGTGGTGTAGGGATTCAGAACAAACTCAGCCTCTTCCCTGTACAAATTCTTTTTGGGAATAAATTAATGGAATACCAAGAGTGAAAAATGCTTGAAGATTAGCAATCTTGTGTTCCCCACCTACCTTACTCCCCCCGCTCTTCAGAAACCTTTTTCTACTAGGAGAAAAACACTGTTGTCAACTAATTCATAGTTTGATGGTTATTAGACTTGCTGTCTTCATCAAATAGTCTGAGACTTTCTCTTGATTTATTTGTCCAGAGGCAGGCTGTCTGAAAAAGCAAGTTTTGAAGTCTCAAAAGGAAGTTGTGTGTGTTTGGTTTCTGACAAAATTTAAGAATGAAGTGCCTGTACTACTTAAAGTTTGTGTTTGTCATACGTATTAATAAGGTCTGTTATCTGAAAACTACAGTAAAAAGATCAGTATGGTACTGAGACTAGCTGATGGAGCTCACAATTTGTGAAGGACTCATCATATCAGTATTGCAAGAAAGTTGTATGATTTTTACACTAGATATTTATTGTAAATATTCTTAAATACTTTGCTTGCCTTAGCTTGAGGCTGTTTAATTCTGCTAAGAACAGACTTTTAGTTATGACTGATTTGGAATTTAAAAATACAGGTAATATCTTAATGGGGTTTTGAAAGCACCTGACTCCCTTCATTGCAGTGACACCGTAGCACTTTTGTAATCCGTAGTTTTAAATGTCTATATGGCAGAAGATGTTTTCAAATGTCAGCTGGTATTTTTCAGGTTCAGAGAAGCCAAGACAATAAGAAAAATTACATAAATATAGACCATGCAACTTATTACTTCAATGAGTAGGCTTTACTATTAAAAAGTACAAGAAAAGTTCATGCTGCCTAAAACAGGAGTTGTGCAAGAACAAAAGCAATAGAAAATTTAAAATAGTAGATAGGAATACAAAGAGACAAAGTGCAAAATAAGAAATGGATAAATAAAACAGCTGCAAATAACTCCTTGCTCTGTTTCATGGGTGAAGAAAAAGGGATTAGGAACTTTTTGATAATGCATTACATCTAAAATAGAAAAAAAGAACAAAAGCTCCCACAGAGCTCTACGTTTGTGTTGTGGTTTTATATTATAATCCTTTTGGTATACAACCACAACAGTAGGTTACATGTCAGTTCAATTATATGTTAGTTCTTATGCTTGCACATGTTTGAAGTATCTTGATTTTGCATTTCATCCACTGAAAATGTGGAAACAAATGTGAATCTGAAATGCATTATGCTTACTGCATTTTTGCAAGTAGATGTATTGGATGCATTGATGTTAATAGAATTCTTTTAAAATTAATATTACACTTTATTTTTCAAAAATAAGTACACAAAATACCAAAATTTTAGAACAATAGTGCCAGTTAAGATCTTACAAATGTTGAGTGTAGTTAATCCCATGGAATAAGTTTACTGTGTATTTTTTCATTATTTGTTAGTAGGTACCTGAAGCACTCACTTTCTAACCATCTCAGCCAG